ACAAGGGAGAAAGAGCAGTCTATTCAATAAATGGTGGTGGGAAAACTGGATATCCACACACATAAGAATGAAATTAGACCTTTATCTCATATCACACACAAAAAGCCAAGGAGCTGAGGTTGTGGCTCAGTAGTAGAGCACTTGCCTAGCATGTGTGAGGCACTGGGTTCGATCCTTGGCACCACATAAAAATCAATTAAATAAATAAATAAATAAATAAAGGTATGTGTCTATCTACAACCAAAAATGAATTTAAAAAATAAAAAAGTAAAAATCTATTTGAAAAAACTTAAACATAACACCCAAAACTATAAAACTACTAGAAGAAAATATAGGTGGAAATTACATTAGTCTGGGCAATGATTTTTTTAATACAATGCTAAATGTTCAGGCAAAAATAGACAAATGTGACTACCTCAAACTGAAGAGCTTCTGCACAGTCAAGGAAAGAATTGACAAGAGTGAAAAAACAAGCTAAAAATTGGGAGAGAATATTTGCAAATTGTACATCTATTAAAGTGTTAATAACACCCAAAATACACAAAGGAGTTCAAACAACTCAATAGTAATCAAAATAGACCAATAACAAAATGGACAAATAACCTGAATAGAAGACTTAGTTGTTATCTCTTGTCTTTTTTAATTTTGTTTAATTTTTTAATTTGTTCTATCTCTTGCCTTTTGATAACTTTTTAACAATTATAATATTAGCTCTTGTGATATTCTATATGCAACATAGCCACTATAGTATTAACCATTCTAATAGCCAAAACTTGGTATCTTCTTTCTCTTAGTAGCAATTCTAACACGTATGAGGTAATATCTTATTGTGGTTTTAATTTCCATTTCTCTGATGATTAATGCTGTTGGCCATCTTTTGTTTTGTCATTGTTGTTGTTGTTTTGTGGCTTTTTGTTTGGTTCTTATATAACTGTTCCAGCAGTCCTACTAAGGGATATATATCCAAAGGAAATAAAATCAATATGTGAAAGAGGTATCTACACTCTCATTTTTAATGAAACATTATTTGCAATAATCAAAATATGGAATTAATCTAAGTATCCATCAGTGGATGAATGGATAAGGAAAATGTGGTGCGTTTACAGTTTAATAAAAAAAAAAAAGAAATTCTGTCACTTGCAACCACATGAATGAACCTGGAGAACATAGTGAAGTGGAATAAGCCAGACCTCAAAAGATGAATACTGCATGATCTCACTTACATGTGGAATTTTTAAAAGTCAGACTCATAGAAGTAGAAAGTATAATGGTAATTATGAGGGGCTAGGAAGGGTGGGGAGGAATACTGAGGAGATGTCAGTTAAAACACAAAATTTCAATTAGAAGGAATAAATTTTGAAATCTATTGCATAGTACAATGTCTATAGATAATTAACATATATTGTATAATTCACTTACAGAATAGGTTTAAATGTTCTCAGTACAAAAAAATAAGTACATGAGGGAATGTTTTAATCATATATATTGAAATAATACATT